ATGTGACCAATCAGGTTATCTATTTACTGAGTACCTAGTTCTGCAGCCCTGTAGGTAGATACCAAAGATCTACTGTTGTAATGATGCCAACAGCCCTGGTACCATAGCAGTTTTTATCCAGTTGTGCAAAACAAGGTTTAAGCTATTTTAAAGAACTTTTATCTGGGTTTTTGCCTCAGAATGCTAAAAGAGATGTCAGGAAAATCCTGTCCTTTATACAGACTTGAAAGATAATTGGAAAAGATAAAAAGAAACAGGGAAGCACTCATTTACAAGAACATTGAGAAAGCAACTGGTGCAGAGGCATGCTGAATGGAACAGGAACAGTAATGTGTGTAGGCATTTAAGACTCTGACTGTTCCAGATTATTGAAAACTGTAATAACAATTTCCTGGTATTTAAGGTAGCTAGGATTGCTGCTGCACAGCATTCTAGCAGAAACTGTCTGGAATAAGCCAATCTCTGCTTATCACTCGCTAATAAAATCCACATTTAAAAAATTAGAGAACACTCCATCTCAAGGAAAAATCTAAATAGACATCAGATATCAGTTTATTTACTTGAGGGAAAGGGATGATACATTCAGAGGCTATTGTAAACATTTAATTTTGTAGCTATTGCTAGGCTTTCAGAAAGCTTAGAGCTTTATTATCAGAAAAAGATGTAGTGAACTGAGGAGTCTGTGTGCATGGTGAATGTGTACATCAGAGAAGTTACTACATTGAAATAAAGCTTCATTCCACTGATTAATTGCCACTTGAGCCATGTGTAAATCTGCACATGAGAGCAAGATGTATACTGACCAGGAAACACAAAGTTTCCTCTGTTAAATATGGTTGTTATCTCCCAGCAAGAGTGAGTTATGGTATCACCAGGGGATTTCAACTGAAAACATGAAGTTACTGCATAAAGCTGAAGCACAACCAGGTTCTTCACAGAGTAAGGGCAAGCAGTAATCCCCATAAGGGCGCTTCCAAAGAACTGCAACATACATTACTTCATAGCAGTCTCACTTCCATAAAAACAGATTCATAAAGTGAAATGTCATTTCCTTATGTAATTATTTTTTAATATATTTTTAAAACAGTCATGTCCTAACAAGTCACGCTTTCAATGTAATTAACAAGTGACCTTATTTAGCATCTAACTATTGTGGGCCTGCTGTATTAAATTCAGTTTGTGATAGGTGTGTCTTTGAAAATGAAAGTGGAAACATATGGCTTGTATAACTATAGAAACATAAGACTGAGAGAAACCTCAGGAATCATTTATGCCTGAGAGTACCATGTAGACCTCGAGATTTGGCCACCCTCTTTTAAAATCCTGTTGCAGGCTTTGCTGCAGCTGACCTGTAGTTAGTTCCTTTAGAAAAACAGTGAGCTGCTTTTGAAAAGCATCTCAAAATGATTGGGTGGATACATTTCTGGAGGGAGCCTTTGTTATAATGTTTAAAAACAATTGCTCTTTTTATCTGAGTCATATATTGACCAAAGCATGTTAAAACTATTAAATCAGGCATTTACTAAAAAGCCCTCAGAATTAGTTTAAAAACTGATTAATTAGACCCATGCTGCGATGACATTACTGTTCTGATATTAGCTCCAGCTGAAGCCCAGTTACACTGCAGTACTTTCATTAGTTGCTCTGCGTAAATTAACTGGGAAAGAATGCCGTATGTTTTCAATAATTGAATAATTTTAATGGGAAAGAAGGAGTTCTTTTCTTTTAGACTCTAAGTTAGTGGTGGAATATATAGTATGCATAAAATTGGCTTTGCAATCATTTTCATTTGCAGAAGATTGGTTTACAATAATTTATCTTTGTGAAGGGCTTATAATCAACTAGAACTTAGATTTACGTAAGGTTAGAGTTATTTTGTAAAATACCTGTAATACAATGTACAGCATAGTACCTTTTGATGAGCACTATTAGCTAGATTCTGTGACTTGAATGGGAGTTGGAAAAAGCTTCTAATGAGAAAGGTACTGTAAAAATGAATTAACTGGTGCCAATGACTGACAGCAGCTAAAAGAGCTTCCATCTTAAATCTGTCTACTTGGGTAGCATGAGAAGTACTGAAAGATAGAACTGTAAAATTGTGCTAATGTTCAACTTAAAACAAATCTCAGCTTTTCAAGTATGCTAATGAAAAGTAACTAAATACCAGAAATACTTATGACTATTTAGCTGTAGAAAGAGGTTTAAATAAGAAAAGGAAATTATAATGCAGATCAGAAATAGTGATTAATTTATCTTAATTTTATTTATTTCTAAGCATTAAACACCTGTTTTTGTGTATTTTCGTGATTAGATTGTAGAGTTTTCCATGTTTCATGTGATTTACTCTGTGTGAATAATATAAAACTTCAGATCATTCATTCTGGAACTTTTCATGCAATATATAGAAATTTACATATATTCTCTGTGAAAACTGCAACCTTATGGCCAGCTCATGTAGACCTCCATGATACCTTCTGTACTTTTTGGATACAAGAAATTAGCACTAAAGCATGTTACTTTGAAATGAAGTATTTTAATTTAGTTTTCACATACCTTCCTGGTCAGACTAAAGGGTAAATAAGTCAATATTCATCATTATTTAAGTTCCTTCTCTATTTATACATAATTAGGTCACATGAGAGAAACTAATCTAACAACAAGGCTGAATTTAGAATAATATACTTAATTATAAAAATGGAAAAATACTGGAAATCCAAAACAGCTCTTTCCTCTGGCCCCTTCCAGTCTTCTACTGGGCTCAAGTACAGTGGTTGCTGAATCAATGTAGTGTAATCATTGCTCTATTTCTTTTCTGTATCCATAGATTGTCTGCAATATAGGAGCTAGATGAGATTTGGAGTTAGACAACCACTGATAACGATTCATACCCAGCCTACATCTACATTAATTTTCATATGTCTCTAACATTTTGTGATGATGTCATGAAATATACTGGCACCACTGGAATGTACAAGATTCCTACAGGTAGAAGGCTGGCTGGTGAGATTGTAAAATTTGACAGCATTGCATGAGATGCCTGTTTCCACCCTGCAGCTGCAGGTTGCAGTAATGCAGACATGTTCTAACTTGCTGGCACAGTAAACGCAAGGATCTGTGAAGCAGACTGGCTTGCACCACATAGGGATGACTCAGTTGCTGCTTGGCCTAAATGTTGTGTTCTGATCTCATTTTCCTGCTCATGTTTTATCATGGGATCCCATGTGACCAACTGCGTCATGGCACTGACTCTGGAATTGCATTTTTATCGTGGCTACTAGTTCTGATTAGTACCCTACAGCTGGTACTCTGGGCAATGGTTCCAAAGTCCAAGGCCAGTACCTAAAGTCCTGCTGATTATGTTTAAGCTTGTTAAAAGCATGCTACTTTGTCTCAGAAACTATGTATCTTCTTTCAAAACAAACCAAAAAAGCATAAACTATCCAGTAAGCAGGTTTTAATCATTTTGAAGCTTTTATACCATCCTGAATTACATTTTCATTCTGATCAAGACTATTGTAGTACAAGCAGAAACAGATGGAGTTTTGGTAGTGATCCAGGCTGCAGATGCAGTCAAAGGCCATCTCTGACTTGCATCATGGAGGCATTTAGCCTAACCAGATTGCATGATGAATTATTTTACCTAAAATGCAGTGGCTGGATTCTCACATGGCAATGATCCCACTTCTGTCCCAAGAGTTATCTGTCTAGTTCCAAGGATTAGTTGTCTTTCTACCCTCATGGTCTGTTCCAATGAGTCAAAAATCCACAAGGGAGGCTGGTGCCTCCTCCTTTCTGAGGTGATACATCAATTACCTCCTGGGTCTTCTTAAGAATTATCTTTATTGAAGATAATTCTTGCTTTCTTTGCAGTCTTTGGTATTGAGGATTCAGTAAAATGCCCTAAAAAGTAATCCCAAAACCAACCAACCAACCAACCAAACAAACAAAAAAAATACCAACACCCCCCCCCAAAAAAAAACCACAACAAAACAACATTTAATGAACATAAAGCATATTCAAGATTGAAAGGGAAATACAAGTGGAAGCTCAAATAACATTTTTATAATCAATTTTATTCTGGTTAAGAAAAAGTATGTCTGACTATATAATCCATTTAGAATACCCAGTTCTCCTACTTGCCTTTTGGAGGAGTTCTTTTTCAGTCGGTTTCAAATTTAAATGTTGCATTTAACACAACACTATATATTCACTATATTATTTTACATATTTTATATATATATGCAGTATAAAATTCTGTTGTGTATTAAAAACAGTTCACTGGATGTCTGAGGGGCACTATCTTCATGCTACCTCATTTCAAATGGTTATCACAGCTGTTTTCTGTATTCCTGTATGTTAGCAATTTTTGTAATCCTTTCCAGTAGGTTGCTTCTAAAGATCAGAAGTGTTTTTTTCAGTCTAAAGTAGTCAAATGGAAATATTGCCATTTAAAATGAATTGTGCATTCTCTGTCCAGAAACTGTATTGTACCACTTGAATTAATGGTGAAAAGTGGTTGCTGTGATTATTGTATAACTAAACAAAAGAAAAGAAGAGAGAAAGAAAATTGCAGCAGTTACTCAGAAGGATTGCTGGAATATTACAAGGAGCTGTAGCCACCTTTTACTTCACTGTAGCCCTTGCATAAAAACATTAAGGGATAATAAACTATCAGCATTTAAGTAAGGTTGACAGATGATGCACTTCTATTGGCACTCATATAGATGCAGCAGATCATGCAGCTTGAACTGCAAAGAACATCACCCAGTGGGGGTGGAGGGAAACAAACTCCCTGTAAAATGAAATGGGAATGGCAGAGTTTAACAGCTGCAGTGTTAGAAAAGACAAAGATTATATTTTTTTCAACTGAGAGAAATATTAGATTGGTCATTTACTGAAGATAGGAATCTGGTTGTTTTAACAGTAACATAATGTGGCTTACTTGCTCAAAATACTGCTAGGCACAAACTCTTGATTTCAGGTCAAGAAGAAGTAAACTGAGCGCTTTAAAACTGGAGAAGAGTCTGACAAGTAGCATTACATATTTGAAATATTTTTGATAACTTCAGTGGTTTGGGACTTCCTGGGAAGGTTTTACAGGTAATACCTATTCCCACTGTTTCATTTCGGGAGACATGTTTCTGTGATGCAGAGCTACCCTAGATGAAAAAAAAGGGGGGGAGGGGGGAACCAAAAAAAAACCAACAACCCCAAACAGAACAAAACCCAGCTATTTTTTCCAGTGACAAAGCAGCAAAATGAAGTATAGAGGGGTGTGTGTGTGTGTGTGTGTGTGTGCACATACATTAGTACAGACACACGCATCCTAACTATTCCATGATTCTATAATCTCAAGTAAAAATACTTTTTTAGTATTCTGTTGTGCAGCAGCTGTTGCTACTGGGTAAATTATTCCATTACTTTATTTGTTACAAGGACTTGCATTTTGAAAAAGTACATGCGTTTAGTAGTAACGTGCCAGTTTCAGTTAGGTTCTCTAGCATAGCTTTATCAGAGAAACAAAGGCAGATTTGAGGTTCCCCTTGCTACGTCACTAGTTTTCACTCGTGGTTTTTGGTCTTCCGTGTGTTCACCACCACCCAAGGTGGGCTGTAGTTCACGCAGGTCTACATGTCAAACGCTGCTCTTTGCAGCACCCTGCTACCTCCCCACCTTTCCCCTGCCGACATTCCCACCTGAATGGCTGTCCCTGTGGCACATGATATAGTGGGATGGTACCTTTTCACTTCTGACATGGAAGATGCATGAAGCGAGATAAAGATTTTATTTTTTTTTTCTGGATCTTAGCAAGATAGCTTCTGTCCTAGGGCACTTGCAGTAATTCTTTTTATTAAGTAACAGAATGTTGCTGTTGTTGAAATTGTATAGAAATGTGTTAGTGTTGAAACGCATTAACAGTCTGAATATCCAAATAAATGCTGAGGAAGCACCTGGAAGGTATATCTCTTTTCAAACCTAATTTGGGCACAAAGCTTGCAATGCTGAACTTTTGTAAGAATGGCTTAGACTAACCTATTCCATCTCTATTTTTAAAATAATTAAAAAATAGGTTAAATCATTTGATTTTGTTATTATTCAGTAACTTGCTTTGAGGATATCTCATTTCTAATAGATATACAGAGTGAATATCTGTGATTTTTGTTAGAGTTAAAAAAGTATGGAGTCAACCTTCAGGGATGGAAGAAGATGATTGCTGATAATAACCTTGTCTAGTTCCCTGTCAACACTCAAGTATTTCATCAGAAGGTTCTAGGATTTTGTTAACTTTAAATACTCAATAGATCATTTTCCCTCATAGACTTCAGAGGAAGAATTCCAAGCTACAGAAAATCTAACATACCTATTTTGTCTTATATAATTGAACATATGAACTAGGGGCTGTAAATATTTCCCACCTTGAAAATACTTTAAAACCCTTCTACTTTGTTATTCCACTTTTTATTCATTGTTAGCATGAACCATGTGAGAACAATCCCAGTGGTGGTTCGTGTTCAAATTTTACATCCTGAAAATCATTATAAATGCTCCTCTGAGATTAGTATGTGGAACAGCCTCACCTTTAGGGATGCTTATTTATGTTTGTGTACATGTGTCATATATAGACAAAATCAAGTAAAAACTTTGAATCAGAATTTGAATCTTTCTGCAGCCATTGCCTTTCTCATGGAAGTGAATGCGCACTGTAAGTCTGATTCTGAAACTTCCATTGTTGTAACTAAATTTTTGTAGGTAATTCCGTGGAAGGAGGAAGCGGAGCTGATTAAAACTTCGTAGATCTTGGGTGTTAAGAAATCTTGAACTAAATATTGTTGGAGTGGACACTTCTGTAGTTGCACAGTATCTTGCCCTGATGAAAAGGCCAAGGTTTTTAGTGCTTGTTCATATTACCTTTTTGCTGCAATACGCTGTATGGTTAAGCTTTAGTACAATCTTCACTTTGAGAAAATGGATGGGTTTTGTTACTGTTCCTATTCTGCCACCAAGTAATAGGAGAGTGCAAAGGTGCCCTCCAGTTATTAGACCATTCTGTTGCTTTCTGATAGATACTCTGAGTAATGATGGTAGTTCTGAAAGCTCATTTTATCTCTACTTACATCTCACCTTGATCCACCTAGGCAGCAGTTATTTAATTCAAGAGCCAATTTTACTTTAATACTGGGAAAAACTTAAGGGATTATTTGTGCCCTTTACCTAATAGGGAGCTGGCTGGGCTGGGTGTTGACTGAACATCGCTGTTGCTCCAGTCTCACCCAATCCATCAGTTGCTTCCCAATTGCTAATAGTCTGAAATGAAGAACTATAAATTACTTTTGTTTCTTTCGCCATTTCCTAGTGTTGAATCAGGAGTGATTTATGAACTGCAGCGTATAATTCTATGGAGCAAATACCCATAGAAAAGTCCTTCTGTTATTGGGTTTTTTGACACAGGCTAAGCCAGTGGCAATGCTGCTATAGTCTGAGTGTCCTGCTAATGCAAAACTGGGTGAATCAAGGTAACAGTGGTATTGCTCCTTTTCTGTTATTATTTCTGCATTCATTTTTGTAAGTAACAAGAGGAAGGATCAAGAGTGGTTAAAAAAAACAAAGGCCTTTGATTTGGTAAAATTGCGACATAGGATATGCTATCAAAGGATATGAAAATCTAGTTTTGAATGAAGACAATAAAATTCACCTTTCTCTTCAACTTAAAAAAATAAACAAAGTAAACAAAGACAGCAGTTGGAATAAGCAGAACAAAGTAGAAAGAATCGCAGTACCAGATAAAAAAATCTAAAGTCTTATTAAAAACAAAAGCTGTCATTTAATCACTGTTGCCATCTTTTTACCAAATATTCTAGTAGTTTGGCTTATACCACCATCTACTGGACACCAGGTGGAAGTGTTCGGCTCATTCTGCATATTCACGACTAAAACATAAAAGATCTTTTAAGAAATGCTGCGGTGTCCATAAGGCTTTTCATATACATCTCTGATTCTGACCTGACAGTAGATACAGGAATAGATTTTTAAAATCTCATTTACAGTGGCGTAAAAGAGAAAACTGGATATCATGGTAAAAGTTTTTCCTCATTCAGGCAGATGCTTTTGGAAACTTCAGCCACTCATATTTCCATGTGCACTTTGGAAGCTGGTAATCATCACCCATCCCTAGAAACTTTGATGGAACCATTAAAAGTTTTAGTGTGTATTGCAGGTTCACTGTCGCACTTGCTCAGTTGATAATTCATAGAAATATTATTCCTTAGCATTCACTTCCTGTATGTGCCACATCTAAAGAATGGTCTTCTAGTGTTAACAACCTATTTTACCCTTCTGTGTTTCCAATAAGCTGAAATAGAGACATGCCAATATGTATAAATTAAAATACCAAGCCTTTAGACAAATTTCCACAGAATTTACAGTCAGTTACTATGAATTTGTGGGTTTGGCAACCATTTTCACTCAGTGCACATGAGAAATTGAATGACGCAGTACTGAGTTCTGTATGACTAGGAAGGGAATTAGGTAATTCTGCTGGTGTATGGATGTATTTCTTGTGAGCTCTGAAGCTTATGTAAGCATATTCCTACCCTCCAAGCAAATATAAGTCCCTGTGATGTGATGTCACTTCATCCTTTGGACTGGTAACATAGAGAGACTTCCCAGTTCTGGCTGTTACTGCCTGTCCTTTTCCTCCCCCTTTCCAAGACAGACCTTCTATTCCTGAAGGAGAAGCACAATGAAACCAGTAATCAGCCTTCTGGAAAATGTCTACCAGCAAAGCAGTCACTTTAAAATGTTGGGCAGAATAAGGTAGGAATTGTGGCAATAATTTCTCTGTAAATACAGCCTTTCTGCTGTACCTTTTCATGGCTTCAGCATGATCAGGGGATACTTTTACCCCAGGCAGCAGACCTGGGTGTTAGTTCTGTCTGTATGCAGCCTGGGACATTTGTCATCTAGGCTCTGATATTGCTGAAGACTCAGAGTTTGAGCACTATGCCTCCTTTTGCATGGGAGGATGCAAGCCATATTACAGTGCTCATCTGAGTTCAAGAGTGAATTAAATTGTCACCGTAGATAGAACCACTGTGACTTCAGAAGATCCCCTTGAATTTAAGTCAGTAATTCATTAAAGGAAATGGAAGCCTTTATTATGGACTTTAATTTCCATGTTGCTAAACCCACAAATGAGTATGTGAGGTTTCATTCACTACTGTGCATGAGTAGCTCATTCACCCCCCTCAGCTCCATCCCCTGGCCTGTGCCTTGGAAGTTTATAAAGTGATGGCAACACACGAGCCTGTTATCACTGTGGTGGATTCCCCATAATAGTTTCTATAGTGATAACTTCAGGGCTCCATGGTAATGGACACAGCCAATTAATTTCCTGACAATCTTCTTCCTTGCATAGCTTTACTAATGCCAAAACTAAATGTCAAATAGGAAAATCTTGTAGTTTGTCCCTCTAGCCTAGTACCCGTAGATAAGCATAATATCTAAGCCAAACATTCCATCTCTGAAGATTTCACATATGACTAATTACAGTTTGGAAGCATATATGCTTTTAATTAAGCTCTATTTTTTAACAGACAGGAAATACTAAGGACTACAGTGGTGAGTACCCTTAGGATATCAGGCTGTGAATTGGACTCTAGAAGTTGATCTGATAAGAGAGGAGGGAGTACTTCCTCCATGCTTTACTTGGAGAATGTAATCTGGTGTCAGGTGTTGAAAGGACTAGAGGGTACTCCTGCAGTCACATGCCTCCCTAGGAATTTGTCCTGTGGTGGATCATGAAGATTTGGCATGATAATGTCCTATCCAGTAGCAATTTTGACATTTTGCAGTGGGAAATCAAACCAGCTGGATACTGTGCCAGGTTTGTAGTTAAATTGTTATTCCGTGTGATAACTGCTATTGCTTCCTATTTGTCATTGCACTGGGCTTGTACATGCATCACTCTGACAGGTGCTCTTTATGGCAGTGTTTCTGGAACTAGGTCAAGGAGGTTGATGGGTAATTTGTGCTTGGGAGACCAGAAAGCATGGTAATGGGAAAGGAGGTGATTTTGAGTGGTTCTGTCCAACAGTTCATTGATCTGCTGGTGTAGATTACGATACAGCATTTTTACAGGCACAAAGCTTCCAGCCCTGCATACAGCATTGTTTTGTGAAATGAAAAAAAAACAAAAAGAACTGTTCACTGATTCATAACTTGAATGTTGTGAGTTTTTTTTTTTATTTCCTTCTAAATAAAATGAAATACATAATAAAGAAAGTTGTGGGGTTTTTAATCTCTAGGTTGAGTGCAAGGATTTCTTTTAAAAAAGTCATCAAGATATACTGAAAAAAAAAAACCCTCTTGTTTCACTACTATAATTTTAAGCATCCATTATGGCTACAATAAAAATAGAGATATCACAGAGTACATGGAAATTGAGTTAATGACCCTTAACATGAAACTACATTGTAAAGTTGGTCAGGATGTGTGGGTGATTTGCATATAAGTGACAGTCAATAGGAAGATAATTGTTCACTAGTAATTTCGGAATTACATTAGTAGTATTCACACATTTTAAGTTTTAAGTGTGCAGTTGATTAAGTAGGATCAGTCTGCAAAGCCCTTCTGTTTAAAAGGATCAAGTTTGAAGAATTAAGCCTTTCATCAAATGATTAGTTGGATCATTTATAATGGCAGCAAAGTTGATTGACATTTGCAGTTCCAAGCAGTGAAAGGTATGAGAGGTTTAAAAGCTGATAAATACTCTTCAGACATTGCCTTCCTATAAAACCGGCCAGTGGCCAGCTATGCTGGCTTTCTTTCCATAATACCTACCTTTACCTTAATCCCAATGAAGCCTTGTGTAAATATATATGGCTCTCCTCAAACTTCAGTAATTGAGCTTTAGCCCTTACAGAAGAGAGTAAGGGCATCCTGCAATTTAATGATATGGACCTAAAAGAAGCAATCATTTACATCCTCTGCAGAAGCATCAGCTGATTGTGCTTGTCCATGGGAAAGTCAATGAAACAGAAATTCACTGGCCTGCCACTTCTCACAGGAGTGGGCATCAATGCAGGCAGTGAGTTTTAGTGCCTGCAAAAAACCCTCCTCTCCTTTCCTATTTCCCTTTTCAGACCATAGTATAAGCTGTGAACTGAAAATGTTACAGGTCAGAAGATGGTCTTACCATGTGGACCAGTATCTTGTACTGAGTGTGATTAAAATTCAGAATGATTCTTGAAGATAAAAGTAGCAAATACTAATGTTTTGGTGTCCACAGCTGGTGCTTTTTTTTTTTCTTCTTTCATTGGCTGTTTCTGACTTGAAGTGACTTACCAAGCAAGTTAGGCAAACAGCCTTGAAATTTTGATAATGAAGTTCTGAGTACATGAAGAATATCATCAAAACTGTGCTACAAATATAAACATTCCATGAAGACTTTGTTTTGTCTGCATTTTTCCTCCTGGGGAAACTCTTAGACAGAAGAAAAGCACAGAATCCTCAGAGAGGCTCTCAGCATGTAGGAACAGATTGCTTAGCAGAGCAGAAACAGTATTTGTTCACTTGTTGTCATGTGTCATCCCTCTTTTGGGAGCCTCAGAGTTCAGGCGTGTTCCCTAGCTCCATTGCAACATGCCAAGAGGTGGCAGGGCGTTTGCTTAAAATGCTTTTTCCTCTTTGGAGCCCTTTGATACATGTTTCCCAAATGACCTTTGCAAGTCTTCTGAAGGCATGTATTGTTTTAAGCGGTATGTGAGGTTTTAGAGTCTAAAGCCCAGAAGCCTTTTAGGCAGTCCTTTAGCCAGCTTTTAAGGGTACCCTTCTCTGTAAGAAGTGAGTGCCTTGCTGCACTGCCGGAATAATTCATGCTCACCTTTATCACGTGACAAATTTTAAGATTGAAAGTATAGATTTATGTAAAACAAGGGTCTACAGTAATGAAACAACTTTAGAGAAAATAAAATGCATTAACGGGCTAGACTTAAAGACTCTCTGTGGCTGCTTTCACATCTCAGAGTTTATTTGCACTCACTGCAGGTTAAACTTAAATCTCAGATTTCTGGTGTTCAAAGTAGCTGCTGCTTTGACAGAGAATCAGAGAAGGGTTTATGGAGCAAAAGTAATGAGCCCTCTTTTAAGCTGCCTGACCTGGAATGCACCAGTCTCTCTTACTTCCCAGCTACAGAAGCTTCCTCCCTCTTTCCTCCAGATCAGACTCAGGAAGGAGTCATGTCCTTCTGTCTTCTAGCAGGTCTTTGATTCCCATATCCACTGCAAGGCTTGCTTGACCTACCCAGATTCTAGGAAGGTGGGTTTGGTTTGTTTGGGTTTTTTTTTTTAATCTTCTTGCTGACAAGTTTTCAGAAATACGTTGATAGAACTGTTGTACCAAATCCCTCTCAGTAGCATACAAAGAAGACATTGCAAATGTTGCAATTGTTATTTTGAGACATATCCTTTCTTTCCTCTACATGTTTTAAATTATTGGATACCTTGAGAGGACCCTTGCATACCATGCTAACAAGGCTGTCATGAACATGGAAGTGCAAATGTAGATGGTTTGAGTGGTCACTAAAACTGAATCTCATTTTGTTTTGGTTAAAAAACTTGTTTTTTTTTAAGACCTAATAAAAGTAACTTGATAATTATCTCATCCTCTGTCTTGGGAAAAGATAAACTAATTCATACCTTGATTGGGGGTTTCTGTGGGATTTTGTTTGTGTGGGGATTGGTTGTTTGTTTGTTTTGTTTTTATTTGCTTAATGAAACCTTAATTTTTTTTATGAAAGAGAAATAAGAAACTTATAAATGCTAAGAATATCCTGGTCTACCAATTTATGCTGTTTAAACACTTGGAATTAGACTTTTGTTATTTAAAGTACTGTAATAAGCTATCTGTGACAGAAGTAGCCTATCCTTTTAAATGTAAAGGAGAACCAAAACAAATTACCCAGGATAAGTATTTATTTTACCTGATGAGACCTTGGTTTTATTAAGCGTGTCTAAAAGTACAGAGAGTATTGAGCACATGCAAATGAACCGCAGGTACTGAGTGTATGTTAGACACTTAACTGCCTTGAAAAGGTAACACAAAATAGTTTGCATCCTTGTACATAGGCAATGTGCTACTTTAATAATCTGTTAATTTCCAGAACTGTACTTACAGCAAAATGTATATGGCAGAAACCTATGTCATCTCAATGATATATATCTTGCTGCCAGAAGAACTAGGCAGTCACATCCTTCCCCAGATACCTGAAGCGAAGTTCGGAAGGGGTTTACAAAATGAGCTAGTTCTATTACTTTTAAAATATATTATTCAAATTGGAATGGATTTTTTTATATTCAACATTTTAAAATTTACATTGTTCTAGTGATAGCATGGCCTTGAAAGTATTTTATACTTTGTCATATAAACTGCATGAGTAAATAGATCGTTAAATAAAGCTTTATAAGGTATAGTCTAGCATAAGATAATACAGGTGCAAAACTGACTGGTGCTGTTACCTAGTCTGTTTTTCACCATCAAAATAAGACATAGAATAACAGAATCTGGCTCATACCCCTTCTGTTCATTGTGTTTCATAATTAATGATGTGTACAACAGATTAAAAAATATGAAATATAGTATCTCATACATATGTGCTATTTCTCCCAGAAATCTGTTTTTCTCCAATCTGCTTTGGAGAGGGCACACCAGCCTAGACACCCTTGACATGGACTTAGGTTGGACCCAGTTCAGCTGTTCCTATATGCCAAATGTGTGAAGTGCACAGCACTGCACTGCAATAGAATCAGTCGGCAAAAGACAGATAGTTGGGGAGCAGTTGGCCAAATAGTATCTCACACACACAAGATTGATGTAGAGATTATTTTGTGTCACAAAACATGAGCCTCAAATTTCTCTGTACTGCAGAAAGTCATATTTTGTAACTGGACTTATAACAGGCCTGCAAGGTTTAGCATTTCTGAACCAGATTATGCAGCCACCTATCTTTCAAGAAAGGTGTCTAACAATGGGAGAGAATCCAGGGGAGAGTACGAGTCATTAAATGCCAAGAACATATGATCTACGCTATAAAATTGATGTAATTTGGCAATTAAGATGGAGAAGCCTGAAAAGGAGATGCGACAGATTCAGACACCTTAATAACAGCTAATTACTCTGTAGCCATGGCCTACCCTTTACAATTCCCTATGAACCAGTATGCTCATCTGTTATGACCATTGCTTTATGAGCTCACTTTGATCTCTGAGGATTGTTGTTGGTTTTGTCCATGGGAGGTGTCTTTACATTTATGTAATTTATGTACATTTATGTATTTACATTTATATATTTACATTTATGTACATTTATGTCTCTATATGTGCTTCACTTTATGTGTCACTTCATAGATGAAGTGACAGTGCAGCAAAATCATGATTAATTTATATGTATTTTCACTTGAGATATTATAATCAAATAAAACTTTCAGGACTGTTGTAATGAGAAGTAATCAAATCTTTAATTTTCAATATTAATATAAACTTTTGCATTTAATCACCAGGAGTTCAAGATTCATGGTTAACCTACTAGCAGAATCACTGTTCCTCAAAAGAAGAGCTTCAGAAATCATAATGAAGGAATCAAAGGGCATACTCTGAATAAGGTAAGTGGAATAAATGAATGTCTCAAACTTCGGTGATCAGAAACCATTTTATTATATCTAAGAGATATAGTATAATGCATGTCAGAACAGAACATAAATTCCTTTGACATAAAATTATACTGTTTAATGAAAACAAGCTACAGATGAATGGAAACTTCTACTGAATGCTCTGTCAACCCTTGCCATTCTGAGGAGAGTTGGCAACAATAAATATGGAGGAAAAATGATGGTCTTTCTACTCAATTTTACACATCATTTACTGTACTCATACTGATTTCCTTTTAAAAAATGGACATTTTCCAATGTCACATGCAGTGTTTTGGAGAAAAAGCTAGTCTGTAAGTTGTTGGAGCTGTTCAAAGTGAGCATTTTGGCCAATACTGGGCCCCCTAAATGAGTAGGCTATCTTCCCTAATACAGTTACATACTTTCTTAATGAGAATGTATATAATTTAGTATCAACAATACTACTTATTATAGGTCACATATGGAAACTGCCTGTTTCATAAAGTAACTCAATAGATTTAATTTTATTTGTTACATAAAGAAAGATTTACCAGTGAGAGAGCTTGTGCTCAGCATGGCTCATTTTGTGCAGAAAAATGAACCATAAAGGCAGAATAAGTGTGTTACACTGAAATTCCAGGTATTTTTTTAATACATAAGGTACATTTTTTGTGTGTCCCTTAAATATCATTTTAATAAACAAAATCTTGAGATGTTCTCATGCCCTGTTACAGCTACTACTATGGTAACTATCTGTGAGTTCTCAGAGTGCTTGAGATATACTCCTAAGTATAATTCTTCGTATTTATAGTATTGCTGATTGACTATTATTATGTGGGAAGGAAAGACAAAGATCTAACTTTACCACGTCTGCATTTTTTTTCAAAGCCATAAAAATTGCATGCGCAATGAGTATATGCTCTTTTTCACATAGACTGGGTGGGGTAAGGGCTCAAAAACAACATTACAAAGCCTTTAAATATGTTTAGTTACTTCTAAACCCAGTCATTTTTTAATATTTCAATATTAAATCACAGAATCACAAAATATTTCAATATTGGAAATATCTTAATTTTAAACTGTTTTTGTTTCTTAAGGCCAAAATGTTGGGGGGGGAGGGGGGAAGTGTTTTGGGAAGTCCATTTTAATCTGGATTCCTACTGATCACATTTATTATGTGCTTGAGCATGGGTTATTTTATAGAACTGCTTGAAGCTTTTATGAAATGTTGATGTTTGTACTTCAGCTTGCTCAATTTAATTTTATTCTCTCAACAGTTCCAGTAATGTCAACTTTATATGCATGTCAGTGCATCCTTTATGAAATTGTTGAGCAGTCTTGTGATTCTGAACTCGAGATAAATCCTCTGCCATGTGTGTCTTTGTGTAGAGATGTGTGGGTCAATAATTAATGAAAACAAAATAAAACTACTACTGACAGGTGGGCTTTGAAAAGCAATCTTTGTGATAAATATAAACTTCAGTAGCTACCTCACCATTGATTCATAGAGTCTTTGTTAGCATCAAAAAATATTTGCTTGAGGCCCTAGAGAATTTTTTTACACCTTGGCATTGTCAGGTTGGAAAATATATTTACATACAACATTTATTTGAAGCTTGAGAAAGCTGAGAAAGATAAAACATTCCTTTGGATGTAGTTTGCTTTCTGGTTTTTGATTTGATTTTCATTTCTTTGGTACACTGTTGGGGAGCAGGGGGAAGAAATTTAAGGGTTTCTTTTATAGTTACTTATTTCTGCACAATGTTCTCCTTTTAAAATGACAGTGCAGCAATGATTTAGCCTTACAAAAAATACTTTAGAGGAAAAAAATAGAGTTCTGAACTGCCTTACCATTTAATGACTGGAATCATTAATGTTAGATGTTAATTTGTTAATGTTAGTCATTAATAATAGATGTAAATCTATCAAATTGTAGCATTGGAATCACTACAACAACCTTTGGATATTTTAAAAGCAGAACTGACTTTAGGTCCTCTCATTCTCTCATCTGTCCAGATCATCTAATAACCAACATTATCTGCTACAGATACAGATCTACTCTGGAGGTTGTATCTTACCCACTGTAACATTCAGTTATTTTACCACTCAGCATTTATTAAATTTTCTCAATTCTCTTTTTTCTCTTCTTTCTCCTGTATGGTTTTGCAAGTACCTTTGGCAGCTGAAAAACATAATTTTTCTTGCTTCTAAAAGTTTAAGCTTGTTGCTTTTTTTTTTCATTTGTTTACATGAATATTTGCAAAATAATGAATGAATGACAGATTTTAATTCACAGATTAGATTTATACATCATATTTACAGCACAAAGCTCTTGGGTAGAAAATATTGCATGTTACCCATGTGGTTTTGTTCATCAATCTGTATGCATAATGCCTGTCTGTATCAGGATTTTTGGTTCATTTATATTCCTGATAAATGAATGGGGTAACTGACTCATAGTTTTGCCTTTCACAGTAATTTCTACACTGAAATTTAAAGCAGCTTATTTGGTTTTGTTAAAGTAGAATTCTCAATGTGCAGTTCAGCAGAGGACAGAAACAGATTTCAAAGCATGGTCATTTCTGTGACTTTACAAAAATCTACCATGAACTAGGAAAGCATTAGGCAAGCACTCAGATTTTGACTGCATTGTAATTTATGCCAATAGAAGGTCTGCATTAGCATCAGTGAGCTATGGCTAAGTGCTAAGGTCGGTTGTGCATTTTATACTTCAGCTGCAGAGGAAGAATTTTATTGCTTTTCATAGTCATGGTGCAGTGAAAAAGGTGCTTTATGATGCCACAGACAATTAATAGAGGTGCATTGCCTAGAAACTAAAAAGGTCACACGTGGAACATAATTGACACCTCATAACCCCTATTAATGATTACAGAAATGCAAATTAGTACTTTTCAGTTTCCAATGAGTAGCATAACTCTTCTCCAGCTTTGAATTATGTTTCCATTTGCTTACAATCTTTACTCTTTAAAATGTTTCATTTACCTTTTTTGTAAAAAATAACCTCAGTCTACATTTAAAATTATGCATTATATAAATTATACTATTCATAAAAAAGTCTATTAAGCTGCAATTATATTTCTATGTAATAGACATAGAGTAAGAGAGAACTGATACAAATATAGGAGTAACACACTTAATGGTTCAGTAACCTGCCTTTAAGGCTACATCTGTTGATATTTTTTCTGTCCTGTGGGACTTCAGAACAATGTTTGCCCTTCCTTGTGAAGACAGACTTGAAAATCTAGCAGCATTTCAGGTACTGAATTATAAATTATAGGTTTGTTTAAAAGCTGTGGTGATTTTATTGTTGTCTACAAAAAGGGCAATCCTAACACAGAAGGATGGGGGACATTAACCAAGAGTTAGCTACTAAACTTGCTCCAATCTTTTTGTCCAGTTATGGGTGGCCACTTATAAGGTTAGTACATCAGAGATCAGATCCTGTTGATTTCACTATAACTAATACTACAGCTTATTGGTACTTTCTGGTGCTTGTACTAAGCCTTGAATCACAGCAGGACATGATATTTCACTGCTGAACTCTGAGAGTTCCTCTCCTTGTAGGCTGTACATTTTTAACACCAACCAAGACCAAAGAAACATTTTGGAGAGTGTGAAAATTCTTTCAAGTAGGAATTTTTTTTTTGTCATTTTTTTAAATTTCCTTTAATACCTTGATGTAGTTCCACCTGAAAATTAGATCATTTGCTGTTTTTCTGAAGTGAGGAATCTGAAGGAGTAAGATTAGAGCACTTTGCTTTTACACTTGAGCCAAGAGCTATGCTTCCAGGGAAGTAGGTTGGTCTTTAAAGTCCAGAACATTTCCTATACCTTTCAAGTATGCACAGAGACAGTAAGTTTTGTACCAAGGAGGAACAAAAAAAAAGCAAGGGCAAGTTTCTGAAAACAAAATAGTGCAATAATGGAAATTCATTGAAATTGAACTTCACATCATAGACTCTCAAAGGAGACCTAACTTTGAAATTAAATCAGGTTGCTCATGGACATGGCCATACAACTGAGAAATTTTTTCATACAGGTTTCAGAGAGAATGGGTGAGCACTGGAGCAGGTTGCCTACAGTGGCTGTGTCATCTCTATCATTGCAGGTATTCAAAACCTGACTGTACACAGCAACGTGCTCTAGGTGACCCTACTTTGAGGCAGCAAACTCTAAAGGTCTCTTTCGACTTCAGGGATTCTGTAGTTTCCACCCTACCCCCACTATTCTTGGACAGCCTGCATTAAGACACAAATATCACCTTTCTTAATGTTTGTTTCATTGATGAGTCAAACTTGTATCTGCCACTACTTGGTGCCAGCTAATAATTTAAGGTTTCAGTGTCTTTATCTTTCATAAAGAGTGCAGGTTTGGCTCCTTTTGTCCTGCATTCCCACTGATGTCATTAGATTGTAGCAGACCTAAATGTAGTCCCTAAGCACCTTCCTTATGAGCTTGTGGGCACTGCAGACATAGTAAAACAAATGTAAAGACCAGTGTGGCCTTTCTCAAACTTTCTTAATTTTTCCCAAGAGCCCCTGAGAACTGATCAGCCACATCCAGCTCTCCATCCTGATCTGTGCTATCAGTAATTAAAGGCTATGGAGTCCAGACTTCCCAACTTTATTCACAGAATTTAAAAAGACAAATGGTTTTCAAGTACTGCTTGTATCTGTATATTGAAGAGCACTTTACTCTTTCAGAGCACTGGTTTGCTGGTCTCGCATGTGGTATGTAATCTTTTTTCTGCAAAGAGGATCATTGCACCAAGTTTTCAGGTGTTGTGAACCGATATAGCTGTATACAGCCTGAATAAGGAGTAGTGCTGAGAAACTCCCTAATTGTGGCTGTAAGGATAATCATTAGCAGTTTCTGACCTTTTCAAGTTTTTACCTTGCAGAAGCATTTTAAAATGAAATCATTGATTTATTTGCCTTTCCCAGATGACTGGTATGTTGATTTATAAAGTCATTTGATGGCACAATTTTTTCTAAGGATGTCTAAAATACAGGGCTGTGCTAGAAACTATTTATTGTTTATAACTTAAAAATTGCAGTAAAATTAACACTTTAAAGCAGGTAGCCATCTTATAATAGTGTTTTAATCTTTCCTTTGTAGCAATCTATGTTATAGTGTAAATGTTGAAGATGAGTGATGCAGAACCCTAACCTCAATGATTGGTAAATAGTGCAGAACTAGTGTACCATGGCTCATTTCCCATTTGATTCATTGTGTTGTTTTTTTCCCTTTATTTAAAAGTCAAGAAAAAAATCTCCTTTCATCCCTTCCTTCTGTTTAAGACCATAAATACTGTTTGCTTGTACTGTACAATGTAAGAGTATGGTGGTGATGAAGACAACTAAGGAGTTTCCCTAAAAGAAGTGGAAGTTTTTGAAGACCTAAAGTGCCTACTTTCTTGTGGCACTAAACTTTACTCTTTTCTTTTTTTCAAAGCAAAAGGCTACTGATGTCCAGTGGCCATTCCAGCTCTTAACAGGTATAAAAATAAATAGTAGGCTTAGAATCATAGCCTGGTGTGATAGTAATACTTCTCCTAATAACAGGTAACTGAAATGTAATTTTGTTTAATAAACATGACAGAGATTTCATGATGGTTTGAATTGAGGCAGTTATATCATCATCATCCAGTTACTGGAAGTCAGTCCAAATAAATAAATATGTATTAGAAAGCACCGCTTTTTCTTTAAAATGTTACGTTTCAGTATCCTAATTAGCATTTAAAGCTTTAATATGAGATATCTTCCCAACCAAGTCCCTTTTCTTGTTAGCATTTTGAGTACATGGGCACCCCTTCCCTTCTCCAAATAGAAGTCCACTGTAAAATTCCCATATGGAGAGTACTATCCTTTTGTAAGAGCTGTATGCATCTCTTTTTTTCAAGAAATATAATTTCCTGCTGTTAAGTCTGTTACTATTGAGACACATAACAAGCTTTTAAACTTTAAACAAATATAAAAGTAATGGATATGCAGTAAGGGATATGGTGTATTTTTGTTTCTTTAAAATGCTGCTTCAGACCTACTTCAAATCTATATAATGCAAACCTCATTTCTCTTGTGTTTCAATGCAGTCTTTTCCTCCCTCTTCCTTAATGCTATCAGCCATACAGTCTGCTGTTTGTGGTATTCTTTTCAAGTGGAAATTAAATTACTGATACCATAATTCAATACCATATTTAAAAATTGATTTGCTTTGTAAAAATAGCTTAGTGTGCCATTACAGATATACTGGCTAGACTGTGTGACTTTCTGAGATATCGCCTGCGGGAGACTAAAAATAAAACTTGTCTGCACTGAATTACAAGACTGTTGTACATGCCATTAGACAGAGGTGAAATGCCAGGAGTTTCAAGCTGTAAGGAGCTGTAAAGATATAACGTTTATTGCAATACAAACTTTTCCTAAGACTGAAATGCAAGTAAGTCCCAAAGTCACTCATTCAGAAAGGTTACAGAGTATATTTAGTGTTCTCTTGCTTTTATTGAATAGTTTCAGTCACAGGGTTCAGTATCTCAGCTTGAATGATTTATTATTCTAGTATTGGTTAACAAAATACTAGAATTCCAAAGGCATGCCATAGAATCATAGAATAGTTAGGGTTGGAAAGGACCTTAAGATCATCAAGTTCCAACCCCCCTGCCATAGGCAGGGATACCTCACACTAAACCGTATCACCCAAGGCTCTGTCCAGCCTGGCATTGAA